CAAACATTCTGTGGGTTTTTTTAATGATTTTCTTTTTTTTTTAATCGCACAAAGGGATATATGTGGAGGGTACAGAGTGATACTGAACAGATCACGAAGCACAATAGACATTAGTTCTCTCCCTCCCCAGCATCTCCTTCATCTCCCTGGTTTTCCGATGTCCACAGCGTGAGATTGTCCCTAAGCAACTGCATGATCAGGGTGCTATCTTTATAAGACTCTTCATTCAACTCAGCATCCAACTCAGTATCCAACTCAGTTGCTCAGTATCCAACTCAGCAATCACTTCATCAAATGCCGTTTTTGCCAGGCTGCAGGCCTTTTCAGGGGAGTTAAGAATCTCATAGTAGAAGACGGAGAAGTTAAGTGCCAGACCAAGTCGAATTGGGTGTGTAGGCTGCATTTCTTTCTTACTAATTTCAAATGCTTCCTGGTAAGCCTGCTGGGAGTTCGACACAGTGGTTTGCTTATTGTCTCCAGATGCCACCTCAGAAAGATACCTAAAATAATCTCCCTTCATTTTCAAGTAGAACACCTTACTTTCTGGTTGGGTAGCATTGGGAATAAGATATTTGTCCAACAGCTCCAGAACATCATTGCAGACGTCCTGTAGTTCCGCCTCAATCTTCTCACAGTACTCTTTGCCCATCTGTTGCTTCTTCTCATTCCTCTCTGTTTTCTGTTCAATGTTGGAGATGACACGCCAGGAAGAACGGCGGGCGCCTACCACATTCTTGTAGGCAACAGAGAGCAGGTTTCTCTTCATTGGAGAGTTTGTGCCCCTGTTCTGTGACTGCCTTCATGGCTGTAGCCGTGTCATCATAGCACTCAGCCTGCTCAGCAAGTTTGGCTTTCTGTACCAGCTCACTTTTATCCATGGTCATTCCCTAGGACATGACCAGGAAGGGCTGCAGGGGGCAAAGACGCTTCCGAGCAAAGCTCTGAGCAAAGCTCTGAGCGCAGTGACTGCTTCCTTCCCAAGCCCGCTGCTCAGGCGGCGGCGGCTGCAGTGACTGCGGTGGCGGCGGCTCCACTTCCGCTCCGGTCGCCACTTCTGCTCCGGTCCCTCTGTGGGTTGTTTTTAATCTCCTTACAGGTGTCTTTTGAGGAACAAACACTTCTAATTTTCAAGTCAAATTTATACAGGGTCAGGGCTGGTCAATACTTGGATGGGAGACCGCCTCAGAATACCAGGTACTATAGACTTTAAAAATAATAATAAAGTCAGATTTCTATATTTCTTTTATTGCTATCCTTTTGGAATCACATTTAAGAAACCACTGTCAAATCCATGGTCATGAAGAAATGTCCCTATGTTTTCTTCCTAGTTTTATAGTTTTACCTCTTATATTTAGTTCTTAGCTCAATTCTGAATTAATTTTTATATATGGTATGAGGTACGAGTCCACATAACTATTATTTTTTAAGTCAGCTCAAAGCACTGTCCAATTTCTGTTCTCCTGCAAACAGCCACCCTTTACTTGGGAAAACCTCCCTTAGTCCAGGTAGCTTTAGTTGGGTGTCTATTATGGTACAATCACTACTCCTAAGAACACAGAGTGGATACATAACCAAAATTGAGCAGATCAAAGTTTCCCTTAAAATCAAATGCTGAGGCTCGGCGCCTATGGCTCAACCGGCTAAGGCGCCATCCACATACACCTAAGGTGGCGGGTTCGAATCCCCAGCCCAGACCCGCCAAACAACAATGACGGCTGCAACCAAAAAATAGCCGGGCGTTGTGG